TAGACGCTTTTAGAAATCGGCCAAAACAGTATTTATTAATTTAGACAGTGTTCCGCTGACATGTCGCATGCTGCGATATGTCCACGTGAAAGAGCACCGAAAAGCACCCCTAGAACACCCTTCATACCCGTTCTAACGGTTCTCTTTCATCTTCATAATAATCAAATTAAAGAACACCATACAAAAAACAAGATCTCGTGTGTAGTGGCTCGCCAGGCATACTAAAACCAAGATGTCGTGTGGGCACATGCCAGACATCATATCTTGCGTTTGCAAACACACGCAAAGTCGGTAAACAGCTCAAAACGGGCTAAAAAGTAAGCACCCGGACTTCCCCGGTGGTCACCCACCCGAGTACTACCCGAGCTTGAGGCTGCTTAACTTCACAGAGCAGACGGGATATGGTGCTTCAGCCTAAGATGGCCGTCTACATTTGACTTTGACCGACACGCCTATTAGTGTTTATCACTCGTATACATTGGTACAACACATTTACACACTCACATGTCCACATACGTGGCCATAGACTGCACACGATGGCCCCCAATACCCCTTCTGGCCCTCAGAATTGGCTGGGTGGATGGCTACACTTTATATAGTAACAAAAACAAAAAGGGGGGGTGGTGTGGCGCACTCCAATACAAACGTGTGGCCAGCAGCTCACTCCTACAACGCAGCATACGTATTCTCTCCGATAGGAACCCCACACAGACCGACACCTTCATACACAGCAGTGCAGATAGCCGCCGCACCCCATATTTGCGCATACGCGGCCTGAAAACAATGTTAAACCACCAAAGTGGCCATTTACGACTTGCACAACCATACCTACGCTTCCTATGCGACATGACATGTGCACGTACGCGTCTTAGGCAATATGAACACCTTCGACACCTTCATACATGCACAGCGCGCGCTCCGCTTAAGTACGACACCAACTTGTCATATACATCATGCGTTTCCTCCCGTCACCTTTCATCACCTCCATATTCACACCCATGCGCCGTCACCTTCCTCGCGCCATCACCTTCACCATTTTCACCTCCATATCCGCGCTTCCTCCGCCGTCACCTTCCGCGTACGCGTCCATATTCGCTGCGTTTCCTCGCGCTTCCTGCCTGTTATTAATCCAAGCCAAAAACATCTCCAAACCCATACAATTAGAACAGCAAACAACTTCGCATTTTTTCACAAAGTCCTCAGCTTCATTTTGCATACTTTATCCTAGTCTAATTCACGCTATTCCGCTCTCTTTAACATACTTAAACTAAGTCTAATTCACGCTACTCTGCTCTCTCTAACATACTTAAACCAAGTCTAATTCGCGCTATTCTGCTCTCTTTAACATACTTAAACCAAGTCTAATTCACGCTACTCTGCTCTCTCTAACATACTTAAACCAAGTCTAATTCGCGCTATTCTGCTCTCTTTAACATACTTAAACCAAGTCTAATTCACGCTATTTCGCTCTCTTTTAACATACTTAAACCAAGTCTATTTCATGCTATTTCGCTCTCTTTTAACATAGTTAAACCAAGTCTATTTCATGCTATTCCGCTCTCTTTAACATACTTAAACCAAGTCTAATTCACGCTATTTCGCTATCTTTTAACATAGTTAAACCAAGTCTATTTCATGCTATTCCGCTCTCTTTAACATACTTAAACCAAGTCTAATTCACGCTATTTCGCTCTCTTTTAACATACTTAAACCAAGTCTATTTCATGCTATTCCGCTCTCTTTAACATAGTTAAACCAAGTCTATTTCATGCTATTCCGCTCTCTTTAACATAGTTAAACCAAGTCTAATTTACGCTATTTCGCTCTCTTTTAACATACTTAAACCAAGTCTATTTTATGCTATTCCGCTCTCTTTAACATAGTTAAACCAAGTCTAATTCATGCTATTCCGCTCTCTTTAACATAGTTAAACCAAGTCTAATTCACGCTATTCGCTCTCTTTTAACATACTTAAACCAAGTCTAATTTTACGCCCTGCCGTCTAGCTTGCCCTGTTAAACCCCCATACTAAAATCTCCGATTTTGGCTCAGAAATCATTAGCGCTGGCACTTAGCGATTTTCACGCAAAGTGTTTCTCGCTTTCTGCCTGTTATAAACCCGATACTAAGGTCGCCGAATTTGGCTCGGAAAACAATAGCAGCGGCACTTAGCGATTTTTGCGAACAAACCTCACTAAGCCAAAACAAAGACTTTGACGATCTTAAGCTTAACAGTATTAACTCTCTACCAGCACTTTGACCGGTTACTTTCGCCGCCCCATAGCGAAAGTAAATCACTTTAACGCAGCCTTATTTCGACTGCTTAACTTTATAGTTTTAACATTGCGCGTTTGCAATTGGGGGGAGAAATGTTCATTTCTGAACAAATCAATAGAACAAGGGCTAAATCTCAGCAGATCGTAGTACAAGACTACTCTCATGCTTACAACACCCCGTTCTGTAGTTAAGTCGTCTACAAAGGATTTATCTTTCCCAATATTTGAAATTACA